TCATATTTAAGCAGTAGTCGTTAGTTCTTTGACTATACTGCCATTGAAGTACTATACTTTTAAAGTGTAGTACCAGTTGGCAGATTATTATGGAAGATTTTCAATTTTGAGTTATTCTATGTACATTGCAAATTAAAATTATAGTAATACTGAAAAATATACATCTACATATATCTAAGAAAAATTGTACATTGATCCGGTTAAGTACGGTAAAATATTGATTACTGGAATTTCATGTTATCCTGCCTCATTTTATGGTTATTTACACTTATGTATCGAACATTTTTTTCAAGTATAGATCAAGGAGAGCTCGAGAAAGCATTGAAATTTACGTTTTTTCTCTTATCGTTGTGATAAGAGTAAGGATAATTCATGTTGTATATATGTCTTATACCGAAACAGTCAAATCCGACAAATGGGAGTAACACCACTTCTACGAAAAGCAAAATAATGAGTTCAGATTTGTCTTAGGTTACCCAAGAGGGGGAAAATTCTACTCGGGTAGATTGTTTCACATTATCGATATCCTGAAAATTAGAGGTCGACCGGTATAGGATTTTCGCCGATATCGGAGACTCGAAGGCCGATATATCGTACACAATCGAATGGAGTGATTACCTAGGCCACAAACAAGTCTATTTGCGGCTATATACTTGTACACAACCTATAGTTGTAAGTTGATGTGTTAGTCTAATTACGAGTATATTAGCAAATTTCCCCGAAATAATTGTAAAGTTTGGTTTTATTAGTTGTTTAATGGGATATTTAAAACATGGACGCATAAAATGGGTACAGCAATTTTTGTGGGCAATCTTTTATTTGACAACATAGAATCAGCAAACGTTTTTTTGGGATTCAATCGAAAGTGTTGACATGGAGATTTTTAGGTATTTATGAGACCTACAAAATGAGACTACACGTAAAAAGATCCGACTAATAGCAAAAATGTTATGGCCGAAAAACGAGGCAAGATGCTGGTTTTGGCACTTGTTGGTAATGCGACGATAATTTCACGCAACTACTCGAAATTCTTCAAATCCGTAGGACTCATACTTCTAAATAACAACAACAAAATTGGAGAATATTTTTTTGAGAATCTCCAATTGTTTATCTCAAAACACCTGTTTTCCGACCATCACCGCTAGTTTTTTGAGCAATATACAGGGTTCGTTCAAAGAGCATTTAAAAGCAAAATACACGTTTTTACCATGCCGATATGAATCGCAAACCATTCCAGAAGATAAATGTTATTTTTATGCGAAAAACAAAGGTTACGTTTCTTTCTTCTAAACAAATTCAAACATTTCGTATTTGTGAGTAATTGAACAAATGCGCTACGATATTCGAAAAACATACGTTACTATACATATTTTTAAGCAGATGTGTCTATCATCTTTTGTTGCGAACTACTTACAAATACAAAATGTTTGAATTTGTTTAGAAGAAAAAGTGTAACCCATTCTTTTCTGCATAAAAATAACATTTATTTTCTAGAATGGTTTGCGATTCATATCGGCAGGACAAACTAGTGTATTTTGCTAAACTAACCCTGTATATTGCGCAATAAAATAGTAGTGATGGCCGGAAAACAGATGTTTTTAGAAATTCTCAAAAACTACTTGAGCAATCTACTCCATTTTTGTTGTGGTTATTTAGAAGTACGAATCCTACGCACTTAAAGAATTTCAAATATCTGCGAGAAACCATCGTCGCATTACCAAGTGCCAAAACCTGCAGTTTGCCTCGGTTTTCGGCCATAAGTTTTTTGCTATTAGTCAAATCTTTTTACGTGTGGTCTCATTTTGTAAGTCTCATTAATATCTAAAATCTTATGTGAAGAGTTTATTGGTTCCTGCCACTTTCGATTGAATCACAAAAAACAGATTTCTCATTCATTGTTGTCGAATAAAAAGTTTTCCCACATAAATTGATGTACCCATTTTATGCATCCATGTTTTGAATACCCCCTTGAACAACTTGCAGCAATAAAATCAGACGTTACAGTTATTTCGCAAGCCAGGGGTATTTTCGTCTAATATGATTAGACTATGTAGACGACTGGTGATTAGACGACAATCAGTTAGATTTCCTTTGTCATGTATGGTACGTGGTCCCCAGGACAAGAGCTTTCTATGCATGTGAGCAGCATCCCTGACTGGGTTTAGTCTGAGATCTGCACAGAGTAAGGAGGTTGTATGGTGATAAATATTTCCTAGCCCTAAGAAGCTAGTTTATCTTCTTCTTGCTGCTGCCTTCTGCGGAGCGCGTATTCATCAGAGGCTGATGATTATTCCGGGAAACTTGTTTGACAAGATACAGTATTTCGTCAGAGAGAGGAGTGCTACCAGCGTTATTCTTTTTGAATTTAGATCGATTACCAAAAGTCAGTAGACAAATTTTAGACCAAGCTAACTAAAAATACCCATTTTTAGATAAAACGGAATTACCTGTTCTACAACCGAATTTTATTCTTAAGGGTATATGAAAATGCCCTACATCGAGAGATACAAAAATTTTGCTGAATAACATTTTGATTATACCTCAAATTAGGAAAAACGTTTTTTCGTGTATATTCAAATAGTTGTGAATTATTTGGTGTAAGTGGGTCAACAAGATGTAGGGGATGATAGTACCTTCAAAATGCCCTATATGGTTAATATGCTGCAACGTTGTGTTATTACAAAGAAGGTAAAAAATCGTTGATTTCGATGTTTGTTTCACCAGAAAATTCATAATGTGAATCTGACATAATGGCTGAAACTTATAGCCTTCGTGCTGTTTAACTTTAAATCAATCATTAAAAAATACTCAACGGTTTCGGCAAATTTCAAATTGGTAATAATCGGTTTGTGAAGAGTGCCTTTTTTGACAAGCTGTTCAGCCGATTTGGATCAATAAATGGCCTCATATCGAGCTCATTCTCTTACTAGAGACTAGTCAGTATTAAAGGGAACACCAGATCTTCTTGTACTAACCATGTACGAGTAAGAGAACGTCGCCAAGCGTACATCTATTTTTGCCTTATAGGCAATTAGAGTAAATCCTTTGTTTTTTGAAGTCGTACAAGATGCTTACCTCTGAAAAGCTTATAAAACATACAGCCTTTGACGAAAAGGAACTTATTGGACCTTTGGAGGCAGAAATAGCATTTTAAAACCGTAAAGTTATTATTAAGTAGGCACCCATTTCAACACTAATGCCGCAATTAGGTCATATAATTCCGAAGTAAAACAGCTTCTAGCACACGTCCTAGATAAGGCGCGGGGATCCCACTTAATTCTGATCGAAATTCCAAATTCCTAAGGTCTCCTTGTTGAACCGACAATGGCAGAAATGTCCAATTTTGCTCCCGCCATTTGAGGTTAATGAATATTCGAATCTGAAACTGAGTCTTGTATTCTTCTCAAATACCTTAGAACCTCGCCTTAAGTTGTTTTTAATCTCAGACAGACATGACCGCCAGCCTGACTAGCGGCATCTACTTCTAGCAATCCAGATTACCCTCCATTATATACGGAACTAGCATCACTTCGAGCATTTCAGCTCGCCCTCGGTCAGTGGTTACATTCAAGAGAAAATCTTTATACAGCAGTTTGGCGGAAGATCAACATAGGTACACCGCATCGCTGGAGCTGGTTGATCAATAAAATCAGTCACCACTAGAAGGCTTGTGGAGTTGTTGTACAATGTTGGTACTAACGTATTTCCTAAAAGTTTTGGCGCAACATTCATTCACTTTAATTTTAACAAACACAAAATAATATCAAGTTGTCTTTGGAAACAAAAGTTTGTTTTATTACTTTACTGTTAGTTGACATTTATTTATTTTGAAGTTTTCGCTCTAAGATGTCGTATAAATCTGAAATAAGGAAAAAAAGTTGGTGGGGCGGGCACCCAAAGCTGATATCTGTCCTTATATTCCAGAATGAAAACATTTCACTAAGAACCATTTATCGAACAATAGCGGATACCCAAAACTATTACTGATTCTTACTGACTAGGCAGATTCTTGATTTACAGTAATGTTAAAAAAGCTTTTGTCTACTTATATTTTGAACGGGCAATAGTACATTTTATTATAAAAGTGACAGATTAAAAATGGCGGCTAGTGTGGTACTTAACTTTTAAGCTCCTCACGAGTACTTTATAAGAACAGAATATAAAACTACTATTGAGCGTTTCTGTACATTGAGTCGCCTATAGCTCAACAACCAGTCATCAAAATGTTATCGTACGCTATATCAATTTTCTTCTCTTGGAAGGCTCTATCCGAATATGCAATAAAATATGCTTCCAAAACAAGAATATTGATATAACATAACGTTTTAATAACAACTAATAAAGTTGTTGCGTTATAAGAGATTCAATGTAAACGTTAACAACATACCAGTTCGCTACTTGGGAAGATAGTGACTTTATAGTTCAGAGCTATGAAGTGTTCAAAATAATGACATGACGCCCAGTCGTCTTCTTGAAATTATCAACTGTTATTTTCACGTTAAGTTAAAGTATTTATCCTTGCGTGAATAACATGATCACGAACTTCAGTTTGATAACTTGACCCGATCAAAAAATAAATATGAGGGAACCTTTCTGAAATGAACTGTACAAACAATCCTGAACCAAGTTCTAAACTGTAGTGAGCTGTGCAGAAACGACGATTAATCTGGATTAGCATGGGCGCCCCCAGGGTTTTTCTCAACAGGAGCCGATCATCGGCAATGGCCAACTTTTTGTGAAAGTTTACCTGCCTCTAAATTTTTTGAAGAGCATAAGCATATCTTCCCCCAAAACTTTTCGAAGAGCAGAGGCCAAATTCTGTCAATCTACAAACTTGTACACAAAATCACGCTAAATAAGCTCATCCTAGCACTCTCTGCGTGGGCCCATGTGGATTGGCATCAAATTCTGAATCCATATCTGTACAACAGAGACAGACTACGTTAAGTCCAAATAAGTAGTTTTGAGATAATTGTATTTGAAATATTTTTCTTGCATTGTATTGAATACGACTTGATATGAGTTCAAAAGTCGTAAATTTCTTATTATTAGATAGATAGATAGATGGATGCTGCATGGAGCAGATTAAAATTCACGTTATTATCACAAGCTTAACATATTAAACTCATTTTTGACAAAAATGGACTTAACGTAGTCTGGCTCTGGGGTACAGATATACGCTTTTTTCGGTGACTAAATCTCAGCGAAAGTCTTTGAATGCTGACTAAGTTTCTATTAAATTTGTCGGGTGGATCGAATACAAGTGATCCCAGTTGTAGAATTGTGTAGTAACGATAGTTATGTGAAACTAGTATATATTTATTGAGCTTGACCTTGGATGTTGAATGAGCAAAGTAGGCAGGATAACAATAACAGTAATCGCGCCATTAGAATCCCGGGAGAACGTGGTACACCTCCATCGAGGAGAGGATGAGGTATAGTATCCACATGCTGAAGAACAACGTCGACGTGGCGTATTTGATGTATTTCGGCCCTCCTAGTTCTCCTCCAACCACGGGTGATCTCCTTAGTACCAGGATGACGACCACGATCGCTGCCTCTGAGCAGAAGATAGTTACTGAGAAGGCTAGGCTGCAAATAGAAAAAATGATTAGTTGAAGTCTACACTGAGAAAACGTGGTCAATTAAACAGTTATCCTGGAAAAATTTTATTATTCTTTACAGATTTTTGAATTATTCCAAGTTACTAAATTATTCGATTCAATTGAACTGAATTTAAACCATATACCCGTTTTATTGAACTGTTTAATTAGCTTAGGTAATTTAATTTATGTAGCAAAGTTAAACTGTTTATTTGAATCGCGGGCTCGGCCCTTCATTCGTGAATGATCGGGGGTATGCGACAGACCCAGTGCCGATGACGCGCTTCGATCTCCTCAGTTCCATTTGTAATTTTCGCGAGGAGCTTCATATTCCGATGTTGCCGTTGTTGGTGTATTAGCTGGGAAGTGGACCAATTATGGAGATCAAGTGAAATACTCTAGCATAAGGCGCCTAGTGACCCATAACCAATATTACTTGCTCCAAATAAAACACTACTTCACTGCTGAGGTGACGGAATGAGGGCATTTATACCAACATGCGCTTAACATAGGCTTGATGTGCTTTTCTGCTTCCTGTATATACTTTGTAGTATTTGAAAATATCCTAGTGTGATTAAAGTGTTGTCGAAATTATTTATTCATGTGAATGCACTGAATGCGGGTGGGTGCAATATTGTTTTATTGTTAGAAATAAAAGAACAATTTTCGTACACATGCTCAAGTGGCTTTATTCAGTTTCAGGTATCTCTGTGTTTACTGAATTTAAAACCAAGAATTGGTTCTAGTGAATAGTGATATATTATAACGTATTTTTTGACAGACAGACAAATAATTGGTAAAACTTGATTTCATATACAGGGTATTTCAGTTTATTGTTGCATAACTTTAAGATTCGATAGAACTTTTAAAATTAATGCATAAAGTAAATATAAACATGGGTCGAAAAATGCGTGGCTTCCGAAATACAGGGTGTTTAAATTTACTTTTTAAAATAGTTTTTTTTAAATATTTCGAACAATATTTGATGTATAACAGTGAAAATTGGTATACAAAGGTTTTTTGGTACGACAAAACGAACCATGGGCATAGTTTTACTGTAGCCGCTAGAGGGCGCTCTCTACTGTACCTGTAGTGTATTAAAATGACCGAAAATTTTTTCTTAGTGCAATTTTTTGCTTTTTGAATAAAAAAACTGATTCTTCGCACTTTTCAACATAAAAAAGCTCTCTTGTGAATTTTCGTTATACTTAGCCGTTTTTGAGATATTTCGATTTTTAAGGTTCGATGCATTTTTAATTATTTATGATAAAATAACGTTAAAAAGTCAGTATCTCGATAATTTTTAGAAGTAGGCCGTGCCTGCGAATAGTTTTGAAATTGAAAGCAGAATAAGGTTAAACGTCAATTAGTTGAAAGTTAGTTTTGTTGTCTGTTGAAACCTGAAACGTTTTTTGCAATTGTGAATGCACGAAATTTAGTTTCTTTTACCTGTTTCTTTTTTGTAAGTTTTATAAATATGCCATTTTTATTCTCCAATCAAGAGTTAGCGGATATTCATTTTGTGTATGGCTTTGTAAATGGAAACGCAGCAGAAGCAGCCAGAGAATACGTACGAAGATTTCCAAACAGACGACATCCAACTCGCTCAGTATTTGTAAGAGTGCATCGCCAAATAATTGAAAATGGTTTTGGAAATCTCCAAAGGGATCAAAACATAAATGTTCGTCAGAGCAGATTTACCCGTATGATTCTGCGTGAGTTTGATAGAGATCCGACAACAAGTGTTAGGAGAGTTTCTGGTGCCTTGGGAATTTCAGCAAGCCATGTTCACCGTGTTCTTAGAAATGACCATAGACGTCCTTACCATTTGCAACCTGTGCAAGGACTACAGCCAGGGGACGGAGAACGAAGAATCACATTTTGTCAGTGGGTTCTTGATAGAACTGATAATAATAGGGAGTTTTTAAGTAACGTTTTATGGACCGATGAGTCATGCTTCACTTGACGTGGAGTGGTAAATTTTCATAATCAACATATTTGGTCGCATGAAAATCCGCATGCAGTTCGGGAAAGAAATTTTCCGTATGAATTTAGTGTGAACGTGTGGATTGGTATCTACCGTAATGGACTATTTAGACCCTACCTTTTGCCTGCAAGGTTAAATGCTGCGACCTTCTTGGAATTTTTAAAGACTGAACATGCAAATATTTGGGATGATGTTATGTTAGATTTAAGAAGATTGGCCTGGTTCCAGCTTGATGGTTGTCCAGCTCATTATTCGAGAATAGTTAGAAACTGGCTGAACGAAAATCATCCAGAAAGATGGATCGGCCGTGGAGGACCAGTCGCCTGGCCTCCACGATCCCCTGACCTAAATCCATTAGATTTCTTTGTGTGGGGATTTCTAAAAGAAAAAGTGTACCAGACTCCCGTAACCACAAGAGATATGCTAATAGACAGAATCAGGAATGCATGTGATGAAATAAGGCATTATTTGAATAATGCTATACCACGTTCGATCATTCGTAGATGTGAATTGTGTATTGAACCATTGGGTTTACATTTCGAGCAACTACTTTAGATTTTGTATGTTTGTCCTAACTATCCAATAGCATTTTAGTTGTAAATAATTAATTTAATTTGTTAAAAATAATATTGGAAAGTTAAACAAATTAATATTCTGTTTTTTTGTGTTTATTTGGAGTTAGGAATTATTGCTGTGTTTAAAAACACAATCTAAACGATCATCTTAACTATTTGTAATGCCCAAATCGAAAATGTAAAAAAAAATATTTTCCCACAAATAATTAAGAATGCATCGAACCTTAAATATCGAAATATCTCAAAAACGGCTAACTATAACGAAAACTCACAGAAGAGCTTTCTTATGTTGAAAAGTGCGAAGAATCAGTTTTTCTATTGAAAAAGCAAAAAATTGCACTAAGAAAAAATTTTCGGTCATTCTAATACACTACAGGTACAGTAGAGAGCGCCCTCTAGCGGCTACAGTAAAACTATGCCCGTGGTTCGTTTTGTCGTGCCAAAAAACCCTTGTATACTAATTTTCACTGTTATACATCAAATATTGTTCGAAATATTTAAAAAAAAAACTATTTTAAAAAGTAAATTTAAACACCCAGTATTTCGGAAGCCACGCATTTTTCGACCCATGTTTATATTTACTTTATGCATTAATTTTAAAAGTTCTATCGAATCTTAAAGTTATGCAACAATAAACTGAAACACCCTGTATAACAAGTTCACAATCAATGAAGATAAAATATATCGAATTTTATTAGGGTTATGAAATTTTTATTTTGATATGAAGACATCAACTATCAATATCGAGTTTTCCAATTTTTTTTATGCTTTTTTTAGTTCAAATATTATCTAAACATCCACTTCTAAATCTACATAAAATAATTCATTGAAACTAGGCAAACACTTTTACCTAAGCTACTTGAACACATTTGATAAACATAATTAAATTGGTTTACTTAGAGCAGGTAAACTCATTTTAACGATTCTCTTATAATAAATTGGTGCAAAGTAAACGGTTTGATAAATTTAACTAAATCAGGCTCATTGATTCAAGTAATCTGTCTTAGAAACCAGAGCTTAATTAAAATAATCAAACTTGTTAGTTGTGACATAATTAATTATCTTTTTAATTGCCCTGATTCAATGTTTAACTGGTTTAATTCATTTAGCGGAACACCTTGTTTAAAGCATCTGGCAGAAAGTATGGCCGGCGATAAGTGTCTGACAGTCCTGAATATTACCTTGCAATAATGTTTTACAAAGTATACATGAAAATGAGCCATCGGATTTTAAGTGAAGTTCGCCTTATTTTTACTGAATCTCCCTCACCTGATACCAGCAAATCGGCTCTTTACCCAATTGAGCAGGTACCGAAGGCGTTAAAACTTCATATAAACGCAATCCAGTGCCCCACGTTTTGTCTTTCAGTAAATTATTATAATTCCAAAATGATTTTTAAAAAGGCGTCAATCTGATTTTCTATGTACCACAAAAAGGTGATGATATATTAACGAATACAATTGCTAGGAGAGGTGTGTTCCAGATTGAAGTATTATTTCACCATGTAGATGGTATTTGACTCCGCCTAATGATGGGGACATTATGTATTATGCCGTACACAGTCAGCTTTCGACGTCTGATCTGCTAAAGCAATAATTTGCAATCACCTACTGTATGTAGGGTACCAACAGAGCTTCCAGATTTTTCATGAACAACTCTAGAAGTGAATCTGTTACTTTTTTTTGTTAGATTGGGTATAAATGCCATTGTAAAAAATCTTAGTATTGGTTATGCAGTCCAATTGCTGTCTTTGATCTATCGTAAGGTAAACTTGACCCGCTTTCACCAAAGAAGCTGTTTCATTATCTTCCTAGCCAGTAGTTCTTGATATGTTGTCAAGAATCCCTTTATAATTCCACAATGTTTTGGATGAATAATTGGTGCAGACAAGTAATTTAAAAGTAGCGTGAGTACAGGGAAACAAAGGAATACACAGCAGAATTGTTTTGAATTGAACCATCAAGATTTAGGCGTACTCAACGATACTCTGTGGAATGAGCCATAGTCTTTAGTGAGGATCAAAGTGCACCACACATTGGTCAAATTTTTGACAGTTCTGTCATCAAATTTCTATTCTAAGGTCCGTATCGTCAGTCGTTCCTACAATTATTCTAGGTCGCCTTTATTGCCTCCTTTATTTTCGTAGTCTTTTCTCTGCTTCAGAAAGGCTAGTGTATTTCTAGATTTCTATTGCTCCGTGTCAGCGTCAGCGCTCTCCTATTGTGAGGGTATTATTTTGTTTTATAATTTCAAGTAGATAAAACAGATGATAAAAATCAGTTTTTATCAGCCTGAAATTTCTTATAATTCAAAAAGAAAATATAACCTCAAAATAGAGCGCTCACACGCAAAAGTAGAAATCTAGAAGGAAATCCTGAAGGACAGGAAATAACTGTGAAAATCAAGGAGGCCATAAAGGCGTCCTAC